TACTTAGAAAAAAAAATATAGTACTATAAAACTATAGTACATAACAGGAATGCACTGAGTGCACTTTAATTGTCGAAAATTTAAGTGAGCTTTTACTATCCAATGGGATAATTCAAATTGTTACTAATTTATTTAGTGTTTTTGACTTTGGGGTGCAATTTTTAAAATTTACAGGGGGTTTGTAAAATTTTCATGAGTTTACATATAAATATTTAAATGTCTACCGGTGCAACTGCACCCCTAGAATGACAATGGATCCGCCCCTGTGTGCATACACAACCTGACCATTTTCAGATGAGCACAGGCACCGATTGAATATTTCAGGGTCATCCGTCTCAGCTTTCTCTGATCTGATGGTTTCTTTTTTGGCTAAATTTCAGAAAACCCCTTTAACTTGGAGGATAATCAGATAACCTCTTGTAACTTTCAATATATCAAGGAAACCCCCCTTAACTTTAGGGGTTATCAGAAAATTCCCTTTTTAAATGTTTTCCCAGAAACCCCCCTATAAGTTTGAACTCCAATTTTTACTGGCAAAAATATCCTCCTGCGTAGGTTTATTCACTTGTGAAAATTGCGATTAATGCTGTTTATGGGGGTTTCTTGATAAAATTTTAAATTTAAAGGGTTTTTTCTGATTACCCCTAAACTTAAGGGGGGCTTTTTGATATTTTCAAAGTTATGGGGGGTTATAATCATCCAAGGTTAAGGGGGTTTTCTGATATTTGGCCTTCATTTTTTTTCCTGAATCATCTTTATGATGTTGTTACCTAATTTATGGATTGTGATTAGTTTGTTTCTCAGAACAAGCTGATTTCATCCACGAACTGAAATTGGTTCCATAAGACATGTACATCACATAAATTAAACTTACATTATCAAATGTCAATTCAAACAAAAGCCAACCTTCCGTTGCCACAACAAATAAATATCTGAATGAAGATCAACTTCGACGTTCTCATCTAGAACCCTGTATAATGGTGAGATGCAGTGCAGTTTCGATCTTCGTTAATGCATAGTAGTCTATCCAAAGAATAGTAGAGAGAAACAGGCGATAAATGAACATAACTTGAAATAGCAAAAATATAAATCTGAGTTCTTCATAGGATTCTGGAAGCTTATATTTCTATTTTAATTCAGGAGGATGTCACCCCCAAGAGAGTCGTCGAGATCGTTGAGATGCTTCGGAGAGGAGAAGCTCCACCAGTAAGTGCCTGAGCTCAAGAGAATTACCGATACAGATGCAAACTTATAAGGATTTAGAGATTAATTTTAGTAAATCTTGACTCTTGCAGGTGGGCACACAAAATCCAGATCGCATAAAATGCGGCCCTGCTGGAGGTATCAAAACTTTGTTAGGGGAGCCAAAGCCACCGCCATGCAGGGATCTTGATGCCTGCTAATGTTAAATTATTTGCATTTTCCAACACGAGACGAGGCATGAAATAATCGAAGTGCTAAAACGCTCATCAGATTTTCTATGTTGTCTGCTGGAGCCCTGCTTGGTGTTCCTCTGCTTCATTTGTAGTCCTTTTCCAATGTTGTTATCATGTAGGTTTATTAGGTTTTCGTGTTAATTGTACTTGTGTTGTTTGGTGGTGATCATCAATAAATCCTTTAACAACTCGAATGCTATACACCGCACATTTATTGGGGAATATCCATAAACACTTTGGATTATTCTTCCTTTTATTTTTAGGAATTCACATGCAAGTGGAGTGAAGCTTAGAAAGCATAGGCTCCAGGTATTTGGTGTCCCGTCTTGAAATTCATTGCTATTCTGCAGGATACACGTACCGTCCAAGCTCCCGTTATTTCGGGAGACTAGGTGAATAGAAATACAGGGTAACCCGTTTAAGTTTCATTTTGGGTTAAAGCTTTGCTACAATGTCGCCTACACCATTTCTGATGTTTTTCCACATTCTCCATGTATCAATTAATCAAAAGGTGCGGTTGAAATGTGCTCAGAGCATAACCCAAAACAGTGTAGTTTTTGCACTAAATTGGTATAGTTTTTACACCAAATCTTTATTTCATCTCCAATCCATTACACTAAATTTTACATCACAAAGAATATTTCTTTTATGATTCTTATCTTCTAAAATTTTTATCTATTTAAAATATTTAACAAATTATATATTATATAATTATATAATACATCACATATAATTAATTATAATGATATATTTTATGAATAAAATACAAATATAAAAATAATGCTTAATCAAGTTAAAATATTACTTTATGTTGTATTATTATTTATTATTATAGAAAATAATAATACAACATAAATTATTGTGTAATAAAAGGGAGATTTTATAAATTATGTGCTAAGTTATCTTGTATTATTATTTATGTTGTATTATTATTTTTATCAAATAATTAAAAAAGTAAAAGGCTAAAAATAAAAAACCAAAAAAAATTCCCACACCAAAGCTACAGTGTTGCGCCAAATCTGGCGCAACACTGTAGCACCTCATCAAAATGGCGCTACGTTTGCCGCCCGGTTGGAGAAACATTTGGCGGAAACTTTGCGTCATTTTGGGTTTTTGAAGATCGGTTGGAGATGCTGTCATGCAGGTAATTGTTTAGTTCGTAATTAAAACCCTGCCCTAGGGTGTTTGCCGGGATGGTCGGCGGGTTTGCTTTCTGTTTAATGGTTCCGACTTTGAATATCCAATTAGCTTTTTTGAGATTGGGATGGATTTAAGGTGAGCTCTGTTTTCTAGATTTTTGGAAGGGTTGAGTTCTGAAGATGATGTGACGGTTCTTTCAATTTAGGACTCTTACCTTTCTTTCGGACGTAGGAGTTTCTTGATCAATTTTCTAATTTGCAGCAAAATCCGAAATATTTTAAGGGAAGTCTCTGGCAAAGTGTCCTTTCTTCCCACAGTTGTAACAGTTACTATCAGGTCTCCTTACTCGACGATCACATTGCTCCTTACGCTGTTGCGTTCTGTCGGTGTATGGTCGTCCTGGCTGCCTCCTTGAACCAACCTTTCTATACTCCTCTTTCCTCGCGCCTCTTGGTTTGCCTCTCTCCTTGCTGCTGAAGAATGCTTCATCTTCTCCTTTTATTGAAACGTCGACCATTTGTTTGGCTAGGGTTTCCTGTGTAGCGAGCAAATTCTCCAACTCTAATAATGTTGGTTGAGTCGACCACCTGTGTGTAGCAGCAATGAATCCGTGATGTTCCGGTCTCAAACCGTAGATGATTATTCTCCTCATCCTTGCATTGGATGTTAGACCCTAGGAGGGGGGGTGGGGGTGATTAGGGTCTTATGCTAATCTAATCCGATTTTATGCCAATTAAAACTAATTAACGAATTATTCTTACAAGATAGATATACAATATGTTATAAGCAAGAATAAGCAATATGAACAAAGAAAAATATCCTAGCAATGAGATATACTATGAGATATATGCGAGGATATACAAATAACATAAGGGTAAACAATCTAAACTAGATAGTGGGCGATATAAATAACGAGCAATAGACAATGGCGATATGAAATATGAACACAAGATAAGTGCGCCAATGCAATCACAAACAAACGATATGTTCACGGAGTTCGGTCCCCACGACCTACGTCTCCGCTCATCACCTCGAGGAGATCTCCACTATCACAACCGGGTTTTCTACGCTCACCCGAATAACGTTTACACCACACAATATCGGTTTTCAACGCTCACCGATCAACGTTCACAATCTCATAATGTAACTACACTCCACACCCTCTAAGTGTGGTCTCTAGCCCGTGTCCTTCCTCAAGTGCTCGGAATTACCACCTCTCTCTAGGTTTTACTATCGACCCCACTCCCCTTAGAAGCGACCCCGTCTCTCACCACACACTCCTCTCGGTGTACTAGTATCATACAAAGTGATCTTTACAAATAGGCTCACAATACAATAAATTTGTTCTCTACAATAGATGAGAACTCAATGTAGGCTCACACTCAATGTCACAATTCCACAACCCAAGTTATACTATGAATGTAAATACAATAAGCTCAATGTGGGTGTGTGTAACAATAACATTTATCAAATCTAAACTCAATACAAAAACTAGCTTTAATGAATAATAATCAAATAAATATGCAAATATAAAGCTAGATATGAGTTTAGAAAACTTCTCAATAAATCAAGAGAGAGAGAGAGGGAGAAGAGTTGGATGCTCAAACACCGATGGATGATCTTCCTCAAGCTCTTGTGAAATTGTTTTCACAAAACAAACTCTCAAATACTTAAAATCTTTTTAAACAAACTTAAACCAACCATAAACCCTTGTTAAAACTTTCTTAAACTTGTTTAAAACACTCTCATGTTTCCCCTGATAGTGGGGGGGTTTGAGGATTTATATAGGAAGAGAAAACAACAGCCAAATGCCTAAACAAAATAACAAAAAGGCCAAAGAATCAAAATCTAATTCTGTACAAAATATAGTCGTTGGGCGATTAGCGGTCGACCGTGGGAATTTCGCGGTCGACCGCGAGCAACTCCAGAAACTATTTTGGGCTCTGGACATTAGCCGGTCGACCGTGACAGTCAATCGCGAAACTCTCTGGACTGCATCCGGTTGACCGTCACGGTCGACCATGAGCCTCTGAAAAACATCCTGAGTCCCTAGACTCAAGGCGGTCGACCGCAAACTGATATATGACATTACAGGTTTTGAAGCGGTTTTTTGATTTTGAAACCCTGTTTAAAAATAGCAAACAAATTCCAAAAATTATGAAACTTTGAGAAATGATTGTAGACATCATAATAAATATGCTACAAAAACTGGTTTTCAAAAAGGACCTCCCAAATGAAAATATCATCATTTTGCAAAATAGTCTAAAACATGAAAATGTAAACACATGAGTTTTGACATTTTAGCTTAACCATGTTTTGAAATATTACAAAATGTTTGACATTTTAGCTTAACCATGTTTTGAAATATTACAAAATGATTTTGTAGACTTAATAAAAGATATATATGATTATTGTTAAGTCCCCATGTTTTGAAATATTACAAAATGATTTTGTAGACTTAATAAAAGATATATATGATTATTGTTAAGTCCAAAAACTGAGAATACAATATTTTCACAAAATTGCATATTTTGCAAACTCAATAGAATATGAAACACATAAATGTGAAAATGAAGATATATATTGTTTCATATATATATATAGCTAAACTAAAATAACTTATCCACATATAAAACAAATAAGTATTATATATCTATTTGTTTATAAAAACTTTTGTGGATAAAACACATAAACCATTAAATTGTGTGTGTATAATATTGAGCTTAAGATATTAACACACAAGTATAAACCTATACTACAAATACTATAAACTATATACCTAAGTTTCAAGGTCTTCAATATAGCTTGACTCAGTAAACTTACGGATAAAGCTTGAACTTGAATATTTAACTTGAATTGCATTGCTTCATTCCACTATTTCCGCCAACCTCCATTTGATATGATCGTTATGACGCAATTCCATCCAACCTCCAACATATTGTTTGTCTATAATGAATATAAAATACAAACACTAGATAAACAATATTAGATATAAAATGTTTGTTAAAAATCATCAAAATAAAGAGGCTAACAATCTTTCCCTTTTTTATGATGACAAACAATTTACGAAAAGATATATATATGCATGAAGGGAATGAATATATAAATAATAATAATCATGCATATAACCAAAAAGAATATACTCATAATATTTCTCTCCCTTTGACAACATCAAAAAGGGGACAAAGGATGAAGAGAGCGAAAGCTTCCCCTACATATAAGCATGGATGAGTATAAAACAAATATAGGGATTGCTCCCCCTATCAAAATGCCTCATAGGATACATGAAATGAATGCTAAGGCAAAGCATGTGAGCAAGCATAAATGAAAAAATATGCTAAATTTAACTCACATACAAGAAGACAATGATAACACATATAGATATGTCATTATGAAGATAGTGTCTCATTATACTAACATAAAAATCATGTATAAGAATAGATTTATGAAATCAAAAGAAGAGGAACATGAAAATCATGTAAAAAGTTTTTAAATGAAAACAAATCAACCAAAAGAAATCATAAATCAAAGTTTATATCCAAAAACGATGTTTGATCAATAAAGAAAACTTTCTTTGTAGGACTTGATCAAACCACTCATAGAATACATTATAAAGCATATTTGATTGTGCTATATAATGAATTCAAAGCAACGAATCAAAACAAATTTTTGACAAAAGAAATGCAAGAGATGCAATAATATATTAAGCTCTTAAGCTTGTTCCAACCCATATAAGAACTTTTAGTACCCGGCAAACAAGATTTGGGAATAAACACCCAATAAACCCAGGAGGGTTATATAAACACAAACCTCTCATCAAAACAAAACCAACAATCATGAAAACAAGAGAATTTGACCAATAAAAATAATTGTTTTCATGTTTAAAAAATTAAAGTATAATTTTTAAAACCAAGAAAAGGAAAAAGAAAAACACTTAAATACTTGGTTTAAAAATCAAATTTGTTTTGGTACCCAAGAATTCTTGGTACCAAGAGATTTAGGAACATGACCCCTATCTTTTAAGCTCAAAGCCCTAGGGTTATGAACCCTCTTGGGCGCATGTAGTGAACTAACACGGCCAAAGCAATAATCACTCTAATGATCCTTCCGATTGTAATATGTGCAATGAAAGAGATCCATTTGTTTTTTGTGGACCATT